AACTGTTTAATTGCATTTAGATTTACATGTCCCAATCTAATATGCCATAGATCAGAGCACTCAAAGGTATAAACAGAAATAGGCTTTTTATTATCAACGGTTACACGGCTTACAACCATTACATTCATTTTGAACAATCCCTTGTCTATATAACCAAGACCAAGGAATTTTCCATATTTGCTAAGAATAAACTTCTTAGCTTCAAACACCAGCCTAAATCCATGCTCAACAAGAAGTGATCCGGAGACCAAATTCTTGCGGATGTCTGGGACATGCAGAACATCCTTCAGCTTCAACTCCCTTCCAGAAGTGAGCTTCAGCACCACCGTGCCCACTCCAGCTACATCAGCGTAGAGGAGTTTCCCATGTGAAGTTTCCGACCCGTAGTAGGAGTGTATTCAGAGAACACCTCCATGTCGGAACACACATGACGAGTGGCACCAGTATCAATGTACCACTCCCTTGGGTTATCCACCAAATTGGCTTCAAACACCACAACCGACATATCAAAGTCGGTCAATTCACCCGGCACAGGGCCGTGTTAGCAACAAAGGCACTCGTTTGCCCTTTCTTTGGCCCAGCTTTCTTTGGCCTCTTGCAGTCTTTAGCCAAATGGTTTAGTTTTTCACAATTGTAACAAGTTCCGGTAAACTTCTAAACCTTGGCTGGCTGCTTTCCGTTGTTCTGGGTCTTTCTCTTGCTCGAGTTGCCTTGTTCCAACAAGTTGGCACGAGCTTCCATCATCGGGACTTTTCCTGATGACTTCTGGTTGTCTTCCTCGATACGAAGACGAACTATCAGATCTTCAAGACTCATCTCATTTCTCTTGTGTTTGAGATAATTCTTGAAGTCCTTCCAGCCTGGCGGCAGCTTCTCGATCACAGCCGCTACTTGGAATGACTCGCTCAAAGTCATCCCTTCAGCATGGATATCGTGCAAGATCAGCTGGAACTCTTGCACTTGTGACACGACAGTCTTTGTGTCAACCATCTTGAAGTCAAGAAATTTCCGTCTTGTACTTCTTCTCCAAGGCAGCCCAAAGTTCCTTGGCAGAACCAACAGAGCTGTACACATTGTACAACTCGTTACTAAGCCCGTTCAGGACATAGTTACGACAAAGGTAGTCACCTTGCCCCCAAGCATCGCACGAGCGCGTAGTTTTGCATTAGTCTCATTCTCCGAAATGACCGGAGGGTCGTCCTTCAGGTATTTCACCAAACCCAAAGTGGTCTGGTAAAAATGCATCTTCTGTTGCCATCTCTTAAAGTCAAGCCCGTTGAATTTTTTGGGCTTCTCAGCTGTAGGAACATGGACAACAGGTACATGATTGATCGGATGCTGAGAGCTGGAACTTGCTCCGGTGGATGCCATCAGTTCAGTAGGATGACTGATATTCTTCTTGCGATGTTCGATATTTCCGTAGAAAATACACGGGAATCCTACGAACTGATATGTATTTTCAGTTCTTACAAATAATCTAAAAATAGAAAATTACAATTGAACTGAAAAATAAAATACAACTGAAAAAACGGAAAGATTTTAGCCGAGGCGAGTAAAACTCTTTCCGCAAGAAGAATACGCCCCGTGTGGCTGCTAACGGTTCAGGCGTAACTTCCCCAAAGATACAACGGCAAACGTCTCTAAATCTGTAGCACACCAGATTTACGAGCACCGGCGAACTTGAACGGAGTTGAGAATTGAGCACTAAAAATAAAAAGATATATCATAAAACAAATAAAAATATTATTTGTTTCTTCTCTTTTGATATTTTTATGTCCGATAATTGGACATAAATCTATCTTTTTTATCCCTTTTTATTTTCTCCCTCTTTTCCTCTTTTTCTATTTTCTCTCTCTTTCTTTCCTTTTTCTCCTTTTCAGCCGTCCCAAAACGTCTCTGTACTCCTTCATCTTAATTCCCACATAACATGTATTAATACACATGATAAGGAATAATTGGGTGAAAATGGTTTGTCTAACCATTATATAAATATAGTTGACTAAATAAACAAATTAGAGTAGAGGAATAAGAATCAAGTAAGTAGAAGCATAAGAATCAAGTTAGAAGAATATTAGTTAAGAACATTAATTTATCACTCAATAATTTTAACAAGAAAACCCCTGGCCAATCGCCTCCATTCAACGTCGGTCAATGGCCAAGAATGCTAATTCTTGATAACTTAAAAGCTTTTTATGTGTGCTAATGAAAATTTTCCTATTTGTTATAATTAAGTTGAACACAAGTCAGTCGAGCAAAAAAGTAACACCATAGGGAATTCCAGCAAGCTTACCCCCGATCAGATGCGCAATCTCCCACCTTTTCATTTTCCACCAATTTCAAACCTAATATAAGTTAGGTAGAATTTTTTTCTTCCAATTAATGAGGCGAAATCAAGTTGGTGAATTAATTTTTGCCTATACAATTTTTTCTTAAATTTTATTTTGTTATAGATAAAAATAAATTATTCTTCAAATAAATATAATTTACCATTTTATAGATAATGACCAAATACATTAAATAGTTTTATTAATAGTAAAAATATACATTGAAATATATTGATTGTTCTTTAGAATTTATTTGCATATCATTGGCAACCATGATTATTTTTTTTATCATTTTCTTTATTTTGATTTTTTTTTCTATAATAGAATTTTTGTACGATATAATTTCATTGCAAAGTATGCTAATAAAGTCTAAATCCTTATAATGCAAATTAGGAAAATCTTCATTATAGAAGGCTTGAGCTTTTGGTATTTGCTAAATCAAATTTGTTTAATTAGTATACAAATTAAATTCTAAAAAAAAACATGCATGTTTATTTTGTAAAATATTTTACACTATTTAATTTTAAATTTATTTACATATTTTAAAGTGGTTACATAAATAGATAATTCTAACGTGCATAAAATATTTTCATTATATAAGAAAAAAACGTACAACTTCTATTATTTTATAAATAATAATGACATTATATGACAACAAAGTCTATAATAAAATAATAATTCAGCATTATATAGTGAACAAGAATAAGTAAAACTGTTATTTTCTCTTATATTAAGAAATAAATGTATATACTAAAATAATAGATGATAACCCTATTACTTTATGAAAAATATATTATAACCCTATTATTTTTATACTTAACACTCATTCGCAATAGATGATAATCCTATTACTTTTTTTTTTTACTTAAATGGTCTGCCAGTGAAAATAATTCATTTAATATTAATGTTCTTGCATCGGTACTCGAGCTTTTTTAAAAAAAAAAAACTGAAATCCTGAAATGCCACCTGGAACGGAAATTTGTCTGACTATTTCCCCAATTCCACCATAACCCTAACAACTCTCCTCCTCAATTTGCGTCGGTCTTGCTCCCTCGTCGATCATCTGGGTCTTGAGGTGGACGGCCTCCGTCGTTCGTCCATGGAGGTGCAACCTTCTCCCATCTTTGTCGTTCTCTCCCAGCTTCGTGCCTGGTTAGCGGGGAAATTCTCTTTCCTTGTTGGTTGTCGGAGCTCAGGTCTGGACGGCGGTGGTCGGGATGTGGTGTTGGTCTATGGACGAGGAAAGGTTAGCTATACCCGGTTCGACCTGGCCGCTGGGATGCTTTCCCCTTCTTTCGCCTTTCTCGTTGCCAGTCGGGACGGTGCCGTTTCGCCGACAAAGCAGCGAGCGTCCTTGGCTTCCTCATGTTTTGGCTCTAAGCCGGGTCAATTGCAGGTTTGGCCTCGTTTTGCTGCTCTGTCTCGGTTTCTCTTTCGTGTCCGTGACCGGAGGGCTCTCGGCGAGTTGGTGTTGGGGGTTCTCGGTGGGTGGCTTTGGTTTCTGCTGGGGGTGGTTCGCTGTTCCCGGCTAGTGCTTGGTCATCTGATCGTGTTTTGGTGTCTCGGGCTGGGTTGGCGTGTATTTGCTGCCCTTCGTGATTGGAGTGTGAGCCAGCTCTTCGGTTGGTCCTGGGGTGCGGGTTCCGTCTTGCTAGGCCTTATGCAGTGGCGGGCGGGTTTCTTCCGTGCTTTGGAGCTGTTTGTGGAGTTTGGTTGTCTGCCTTTTATTTAGATGTATTGGACGGGGGAGCTGTGTTTTTTTGTTATTTTGTCTTTAGGTTTGGTTTGTTTTTCAATTATTAGTGTTGTTGTTGTTTTTTTGGTTTGGGTCGTTGACCCCTGTGAGCCCGAGTGTCATTTTGTACGCCCGAGTGTCACCTTATTACCTGTTGGGGTCCGACACTCGGGTATTAATCTGTTGGGGTCCGATACTCGGGTAGTTGTTTTTGTTGTTTTAGTTTGTTTTAGTTGTCACTGTGGTTGGTTAGTTTAGTTGTGAGTATTTTTTTTCTAGCGTTGCTAGCAGAATTCTAGGCGGTCTTCTGACATGTCCTCTCATTTCATTCTCCCGTTGGGAGCTTTGTATCTTTATTCGCATTTTGTGCGCTTTTGATTTATAATAGTACCTATGTCGTTTCGGGGGAAAAAAGAAAAAAAAAAAAAGAAATGCCACCTGGCACGCTGTCATAGGGTCACAGTTTAAAACGGGCGCCACCCTCGCGGATGGCGTCGACTAAACCCTCATACAGATACGACGAAGCACAGAGAAAAAAGCAAAGATGGCGGCTAAAATTACTGTGGTAACTCTATTCCTAATTTCCTCCATCATTTATCAACTTTCTATTTCATGAATGCGTTTTTTTACGGCTCCATTGTTATTGCAGACCTCACCTATAAATCCCGAGTTTTGATGGTTGGGGCAAAAGCTGCTAGAACCCTAAAACCATTTTCAGTTGGGGTTTCTCAATTTCTCCAAGTCCATAAGCTGCAGGTCGTTTAATAAATTACATTTGTGAAGTGGATCTTAAATACGTTTGTGACTTTGATTGTATCATCCGTCTTATGTTTTTCGCATCTAATTATCTAATTTTGCACTTCAGCCGATTCTGCTGTGTTGAGCAGTCGATTAAGTTCCAATTATCAGGCATCATTTGGATAGTATCATCATATTCTACCATGGATATAAGCAGTAACAAGGAGGAAGAGATATTTTCGCTTACGAAAAGGGTAAAAAGATCCCATGAAGAAAACCACGATTTTCTTAGTGACTTGCCAGACTCGATTCTGGTTCACATTCTTTCCTTTTTACCGCTACGTGATGCCATCAGAACTGTTGTTCTTCCGAGATTCGGTAAACTTTGGCTTAGCTTGCCGGTTCTTGATTTGGACAACTGTGTGTACCATGACGGTGATAAAGATACAGATGTCCGGATTTGTCACTATGAACACTTCATGCATGTAGTTCATCGGGTTTTGAATCATCACGATGAGTACACGCTGGATAAACTGCACCTCAGGTTTGCCCTTGCGTTATCTTATTCACATTACACTGAGTCCGATCTTAATAATCCCAACCTTAGTGTTTATGAAAGACGGAAGGTGGATAAAGAGAGGGCCGCTTCATATCAAGTCGGGAAATTAATCAGTTATGCTGTGAGCAGAAAAGTTAAGGTTTTGGATATTGATCTTGAGGGCTGTGATAAATTTGAACAATATTATGAGTTACCGAATGTTTTAAGTACTGGATACTTGACGAATTTATAGTTGGTCGCTTGTCACCTTGATTCTTGTGAGCAAATAAATCTGCCGGCACTGAGAGTCTTGTCTCTCCATAAGGTTTTCATAAGAGATGAAGCCCTAGGAAGAATCTTGAATGGTTGCCCGTTTCTTGAGGATCTGTCTTTGCTTGACTGTCGTGGCTTTCGCCAGTTGAATTCCGAAAACCCAAACTTGAAGAAGCTGATGCTTAGTCTGGCCGAGTATAACTGGGTTGTGCGCGTGCAGTGTCCACATGTAGTGTCAATGGGAATATCTGGATGGATCGAAGGTGTGATTTTGCATCATGTCTCATCACTCTCATCTTTGCTCGAAGCTTCCATTTACTATAGCAGCTCGTTTAGAGGCGCGGACAAGCATTATTATCGACTGCGGACCCTACTGTTCATGGTTCGCCGGTCTAGGACTTTCACCATATGCGCTTGGAGTATTTTGGTAACCTTTGTGCCTTTCCGTGTTTCGAGTTTATTTGAACGTTTGACTTCTTTATTGCATGAGAGATGAAATCAAAGGCTTTTGGATTTGGTTACTTATTTATTCTTTGTGAAGAACAAATTATTGAAAGAGTACTGTCAAGATGTAAACTTTGGAGTATTAACTGTTAATCTGACTATGAGCATGACAGTGAATTGTGATGCCTAAACAACTAAAAACAGTATATATGCTGTAGTTTTGCGTAGTTTCTTTAAATGAGGAAACTATTTCTATGTGGTAGCCGCAAGAACACAAAAGGTGATAAGTTGATGAAAAGAGCAAAAAGAAACTTTTGTGACAATTTATGTTGGCCATGTATCATCTTGTAAATTTCATGGGATAACATATGCTACATGCTGGGACTACATGAAAATAATTGCTTTTTATACTTTTGTGAGCAGGTGATGTCAATATGGAAATTGAAGAATGTCTTTTGCCCACCGTTCAAGTGGAAGCATATCAAAGTTAAACTTCATCTCACAAAATGGGACCTTCCCGGCCTTTCCTTCCTCTTGAAACGTTGTTCTGCTTCTCTCGTGGAACTTACCATGCTTACCCTTGGTCAAAATGACTCATTCTTTAAGGTACAAATTTCTCCTCATATTTTGAATACATATTCATCGTCTGTCTTTCCCTGAATTGGGGTACTAAGATCACTAAACTTTGTGCTGCTAGACTGTGTACACAAAATGGATTTGGGATTATGATTTTGATGGAGAGGGATACTTGAACTCACAGGAGGCAACCTTACCCTGCCTCAAGAGCATTAGGATACATAGCTGCCATACAGGCGACCCGTATTTCATCCAGATTGTGAAATTTCTGCTGAAAAATACTCCTAGGTTGCAGAAAATGGTAATTACAACTGAGAAAGAATTTACCTCAGAAAAACAACTGTTTGAGCTCTCGGAGGATTTATCAACGTCGCCTAGAGCCTCATTGGAGGCAATGGTGTGTATCTCTTAGTATCCCATTATGAATTGCTACTTATGGCCACGTTATTGCTTTTGACGTGAAACTACTTGAAAAATGTGGCTTGTAATCTCTGGAAACTGGAGAATCATTAGCTCACTTTCTTCTATTATGAATGGGTCTTAATTTATGTGATCTACTTTATCAAAATGCAAATGATTTATTCTTGCGGAAACAAATGACTAGAGATGTCAAACGGTCCTTGGCCCGACGGGCCGGCCTGTTTAGCCCGAAAAATAATAGGGTTAGGGTTTTTTTATCGGTAACCCGTTTAAATCAGGGCTTAGGCCCGGACTGTTTAAATCGAAGCCCATTAGGGCTAGTCCGAAACCCGCTAGGGCTGGCCCGTTTAACTTGAGTTGCGCATTGTAAGTGTTTGCAGCAAGTAAGTAATATGCTCTTAGATTCATTGTATATTACAATTTTGCTATCTCACTTCACATGTAAGTATGAGTTGTAACAGATTATAATGATTTTGAAAGATAATTATTAACAATATTCTTATTGTATTCCACACCAAAATATTTAAGTAAATCAGAACGACTAATAGAAAACACATGAGACAAGACTTGATATATGAAACATAGTGATTGAATTTATAATCATAAAATATCGTAAAAATTTCCAAAGCCAAAATAAGTAGTAAAATGATAATTGTAAATAATAATTTGAATATTTAATTTCTTTTGAAAAATGTATTATTTAAGAGTTTGTAGTGTGTGTTCATATATGATGTGTAGTTGTATATATAGAGGGTAAATACTTAATAGTTGTTGAAAACAGTCGTTAATTAGTCGTCGTAATTTTTTATCAGTTTTTTATTTTTATTTCTGATTTTTTTGATACATTATTATTATTATTATTATTATTATTATTATTATTATTATTATTATTATTATTATAACTCGCATAGCTCGTTTAGCTCGAAGCCCGCTAGGGTTAGAGTTAGGTCATTTTATTGGTAGCCCATTTAAATTCGAGCTTTTTAGGCCCGGGCCGTTTAGCCGAAGCCCACTAGGACTAGCCCGAAACCGCTAGGAGTAGCCCGTTTAACATCGCAAATACATGTTTTCTGAGAACACATGTGTGAATTACAACTCTCTCAAAAAGCACGTGGGACAAGGTAAGTGAGATAAGGTAAGTATTGTTTAAATGAGACATGTGTCTTATTTTTATAGGTTAATGAATTTTATATATCATATTAAATAAACTAAATTATCAACTATATTTTATATTAAAAAATAAAAATAAAAATATCAAAATTCATAATTTTTCATTCTCTACAAATAGATACCACATTTGATAGATTTTGGAATACAATTGATTTATTATTTTTTATAATTAATTTATGTTATTAGAAGATGATGACGCAAATCTATAATAAGATGAACATGTTACATAGTAAGATGAACATGTTATATAATAAGATGAACATGTTATAGAATAAGATGAAAATATTGCATATTTACAAAATAAGGTGAACATGTTGTAAAATAAGATGGATATGTTACATAATGAAATGAACATGTTATAAAATAAGAAGAACATGTATAAAAATAAATAAATAAATAAAAAATAAAAAAATAATAAGATGAACATGTTACATATTTACACAATAAGGTGAACATGTTACAAAATGAGATGGACATGTTATAAAATAAGATGAACATGCTACATAGTAAGATGAACATGTTATATAATAAGATGAACATGTTACATAGTAAGAAGAACATGTTATATAGTAAGAATAAGGTTTTAAATAGCAGGCTAAGACGTTTATGGCACTGTAGCTATAGCGGAGATATAGCGGGATATAGCGGCTAAATTGCACACGAATACAAATAGCGGCACGCTGTCAAAAAAAGTTATTTCTCAAATAGCGGCAAATTTAGCGAGCTATTTATTTCCTCTGTAAGAATAATATGTTATATAATAAGATGAAAATGTTACATATTTACAAAATAAGGTGAACATGTTATAAAATAAGATGGATATGTTAAAAAATGAGTAAGATGAACATATTATATAGTAAGATGAACATGTTACATATTTACACAGTAAGACGAACATGTTACAAAATAAGATGGATATGTTACAAAATGAGATGAACATGTTATAAAATAAGATGAACATGTTACATAATGAGATGAACATGTTACATAGTAAGATGAATATGTTATATAGTAAGATGAATATGTTATAGAATAAAATGAAAATGTTACATATTTACAAAATAAGGTGAACATGTTATAAAATAAGATGGACATGTTACAAAATGAGAATGTTGCATTTTAAAGATGAAATTTAGATGAACATATTATAAGATAAGATGAACATGTTACATAATGAGATGAACATGTTACATATTTACACAATAAGGTGAACATGTTACAAAATAAGATGAACATGCTACATAATGTTATATAGTAAGATGAACATATTACACAGTATTTGACTCGATTATGAACATCTCATTTCTTGGTAAATGAATATGTTCCTTTGTAAAATGAATACGTTTCTTAGTAAAACGAATACGTAGAATTGAATTGATCATATTAGAATTTGAATCGATTATACTATAATTTGACTCGATTATACTAAGTTTGACTCGACTACACTAGAATTTGACTCGATTATACTAAGTTTGACACGACTATACTAGAATTTGACTC